ATATTTGAGCCTGATAAAGGTAATTTCTCATCAGAGTTGATTAAATGTTATTCTCAGCGTAATGGCTACACATTTATCCCTATAGCTCTTTGCTCCAACAACAGTTGAGTAAGCTTCAGTCAGAATCTTTTCTTGGTACTTTGATATGTTATGTTGGAAGCTGATGCTAACATTAGCTTTCAGATGAGACTATTCACATAGTTTAGTTGAAAAGGTGACTATATTTCACTTTTATCTTTTAATAATCTTAAACATTTGGTTATATTTCCAACTAGACGAGCCTAGCAGCACGTAGCATATCTGTGTAGCCTACATGAAAGGAGAAGGTTGACTATAGGGAGCTACTGGAGCTAAAAGAGTGAATGCAGCTCCAGAGATAGGAGAACACAAGTAACTTTAAAGGTCTGTAGGTAAAACTGTACAATATGAACACTTTGCATTTCATTTTTCCTTCATTTCCTCTCCTGGTGATCATCTTGCAACCTGTGTCTCAGCACCAGGTTGGGAACTACTGACGACACATAAAATATGGGTATTAAAGCTTTAAGAGTATTAGATATTCTGCGAGTAGGAACTAAAGGACTCATGTTCTGAAAGAGGGAAGTGCAAAATGCAGAGTGAGTGTTACATGTTTGTTCTGTGTGGGCAGCAGCAGTTGATAAGAGCTGGGTTTTATTTTTTCTTAACAATATTGTGCTTGTGCACTCACTGCCTCCTTTAAACGTCTGAGGGAATCTTTTTCTCCCTTCATGCGTCAGATTTATGGAGAGATATTAAAGATGATTCCAGTGAAGGTGCTTCATGTTTTCCTGTGTGCTCCGATCTAGCTGGCAAAGCGGCTCATAAACATCACAGAAATGTCCCCAGAAAGCAGTCAGGAGTTATTGCCTCTGTCTCCAGGCTCAGAGCGCCCAAAAAGGATATTTTTATGAGGGACAGCTTGAGTCCTCAGTTGTGATTGACTGAGTCACATCTTCAGTCCTGTAAGAAGCCCAAACAAATACAAAACATTCACACTGTGACATTTTGTGTTTGCATTTGGTTAGAAACACTTTGTTCTGGCATCTATATCACTTCTAACAACTCCTCTTTATAACTTGTTGCACTGCATGTACATTTACCTTATTCACCAGTTTGGTTTAGCATGTTAGCATGCTAACATTTCCTAGTTAGCACTTCATAATAAAAGTACAGCAAAGGCTGATGGCAATGTCCTTAGTTTTGAAGGTATCTGGCACAGACTGTATAATTAAAAATGGATGTAGTCTCTGTGAATCTGTTGTGAAGCTCAGTGTGGTCGGCTCTGGTCGTCCCCAACTTTTGACTCTGCCAACTCCCGGCTACTACAAACATGGGCTGAATTAAACCTGAAAACAGCCACCTGTGACGGCACCTGCCTTTCACTAAAAGCAGCCAGGCCCTTAATTATGCATTATTATTAACATAGTAAGCCTTAATATAATTTAAACAGGTGAGTTATATAGAAATTCACCCCGAGTACAGTTGTTGTGAAGTCATTAATATTTAGGACAATTCATCGAATATATTTGAATATATATCATGGCTTTTCCTGCATTACTCTGCGACTTAAATCTCAGATTGTCCTCCTTTAATATGCAACGCTGAAGTATCTTTGGCAAGAAATAAAGCAGACGAGATGCTGTTCACTGTATTGGGATCATCAATCTCGTGAAATTCTGCAGCACAAATTTTATTCCGTGCTGAAATAAGTGGAAAATAATTAGAAAGAAAGAAGCTGATGTAAAAACTGATGATGGGAATGTAAAATGCACAATTTGCAGTTAATGGGCTGAAACATTCAAAACAACAGATTTTTCCAAGAACTTTAAGGGAAATGTCACTTGGCTCTTAAGTCGTTCTGAGAAACCCGCTCTGCTCACCAGCACAGCCCTGCAGAGATATTGATTGATGTTGGACTAGTGTCTGGCTCCGGGGTGGAAGCTGGGGGCCTCAGGGATCCGTGCAGACAGATGGAAAGGAGGATGGTGTGGGACACTGGGATGGCAGAGCTCCTTGCGGTGGGCTTAAAGCTGCAGTGCTATTGATTGACACAAGAGATAGAGCCCTCCGAAGCCGTATTCCGCTCTGAAACAATCCCCGGGTGGTTTTTGTAGCCAAATGGAGCCTTTATCCCCATTGTGTGCAGATACCTACCTCTATAATATTTGTAGGGCTCTCTCAGGAGTCGGACAGTGCTTCAGGAAACAGCAGATAAGCAGTAATTAGACATATCTCCGCTCCCATATCGTACCCTATCACAGAAAAATAATCTACCTCTCTGTCCGGCTCCTGATTTCTTATCACACGTTGGTAATTTCAAGGTTAAAGTAATGTTGGTAGGTTACTCCTCACTGTTGTTTACACACAAAAATAACTCTTAATTAATTAAAATCATGGAAGGAATTTCCCACAGGATTAAATTGTGTTCTTACAGCCTTAAGCAATTCTGTTGGTCTAACTGTAAAAAGTATGACAAACATCTGGTTGCCATGGAACAAGTCATTTCGTTTTGAAATTAAATGTGTTGATTTTATCTGAACTGTCTTTGAGTCCTGTCTAACAAACATGAAGCCATCATTTAATGAACATAAACAAAATAGATTCATTTATTACTAACATAATTCTTACTTTTAGACCTTTAATCATCATTGTCGCAGAGCTTAAAACCATTAAATAAACCACAGTTTGTCATACACATGGGGAATGTAGTTGACGCTGTAGTACTTACTACATACTACATTTCATATAACATGAACTGAGTACAACCTGACTCAGACAGGAATAAGGAAATCAAAAATGCAGAACAGAAGCAATAAAAGGGAAGGAAATACACTGTTGCCCTCGCTGTTCTGGGCAGTACTGTCAGATAAATGCATGATGTAAATGTGATTACCCCTTTTGGGAACGCAGGCTGAACACAAACACCACAAATCTCACACAAATCAGGAGCTATTCTGACATCAATTAACTTTAACCTACAGAGTTACAGTTACATGCACCCTGATGAAAGATTTCCATTTGTGTTGTGTCTGTTCATTGAGTCTGTGATCTGTCGTTCAGGTGGCACAACTGGATTTGTTCAATTATGTATAAACGTGGTTACATTTACATTAAGACATTTTCACTAACACTAACATGCTAACATTTAGCATTTAAGTGTAGCCATATGTGAACACAAGTCTCAGTATATGTTAACAAAACCTGAACAATTATTATTTTCAGGTGATTATACACTAATAAAAACATGCCTTTGAATATTATATTTAATTTTAGCCAATAGATCCTCCTAAATGTGAAACACTGGACCTTTAACGTCCAATAATCTTTAATAAGCATGCTAACAGTAGCACATCTTTAATAAACCTTTCACTACAGCAAAGTGCATGCATGAAGTTGTTGTTTTCACATGTGACATAATGTCAAAAATCCCATATTTTGTGAGTATTTTGCAATGTGTGATTGTGTCAGCTTCCTTTAGGATATCTGACACATATCTAATCAATGATAAGCCCACTTTTATAGTAATATTCCCTTACTTGTGTACTTTAGCTTGACATCTCTGTAGGTCTGTCAAACTGACACTGAACACCTGTTCAGGACTTTCAGGTATCCTATTGTCCTCTTTGTGTGCTTAAAACAAGACCGAAAAGGGAAGGTATTCAAATAATGCAAACAACAAAGCTGCTGTATATTATTGATAACATGCAAACACAGCTGAGAACACAAAGTCCACAGCATTGCATAATACACAGTGTTTATGGCAAGTGCACCATGTTTATGGGCTTATTTAAATCAGTTTTTATTATTCTCTATTGTTTGAATTAGTAGACTCAGTGTGAAAACCTGTATATACGGTGCAGCATATTCAAACTGAGTGATTGTGGGCCATAAAATGAGCAAATATTTGTGAGGTGCTTTGTGTTTGGCATGCCCAATTTGCATAATGACCACACCTCAGACAACATCAGGTTGTTTCCACGGGTTCAAAGGTGGATCAGTAATAAGTGTATGGCTGGTGATTCACCGTTTTCTCCTCAGTCTTGTGTCAAAAACGACAAAAAAACACCCGGGCTTGCCAGGCGGGTGGGCCTCCTCATTGAAATTCAGCAGCGCCTGCGAGGAAAGATGCAGAGACGAGATCACGATTCCTTTGAAAGTACGCAAACCGAGTACTTGACAGCACTTGAAGTCTCCTGTCTTAACAGCGTGTATCTGAGGCTGGGTGGTGGCGGCGGTGGTGTGTGTGTTGGGAGGAAGGATTATTGG